GTCCTCCCGTTACCCTAAGGAGAACTATGGGGAAAAACACTGACCCCATAGTTCTCCTTTAAGATTGAAAGAACCAATGAGGAGGGAGTTGCTATAGTCGAGACGAGAGATAACAAGTGAGTGGATGAGCAGCTTTTTAGTTGTACCTTGGTATTGGGGGAGGGATGGATAGATGTGTTATTAATCCCAATGGAAAGGTGGAACGTGCATGGGGGGCGGGAGGAAATATCATGAGCTCAGTTTTGGAAAGATTGAGTTTTAAGAAGTGTTGTGACCTTTACATATATAATATTTTTTTTGTGAATATTTAGCGCTGTGCATAAAAGTTCACATATCATTGAAGAGTGAATACGCACGGAGCATAGCAGCTTCATATTTCCAGGAACCCCGAGCGCGGAATATGGTTTTATTAATAACATGTAGAATGTCATTGTCTACATGAGATTGTAACACTGTGCTAAAATCTCTGGGGGTCTGAAGGCTGTGGCACGCGGCACGCAAAGCAGCGTGGAGCCGTGTGCGTCATTTTCTCTCCGGCACGTCAGCTTGTGAGAGCTCGAGACGAAATGTGAGAAATAAAGTTTATTCACTATATTGCCAAACGTATTAAGACACCCCTCCAAATCATTGGATTCAGGTGTTCCAATCACCTCCATGTAGTCCTGACCTCAACCCCATAGAACACCTTTGGGATGAATTAGAGCGGAGACTGCGAGCCCCTCCCCCAACATCAGTACCTGACCTCACAAATGGTCCAACATTCCCATAGACACTCTCCTAAACCTTGTGGACGCCTTCCCAGAAGAGGCGGAGCTGTTATAGCGGCAAAGGGCGGAGCCAACCCAACACCGAACCCTACAGACTAAGACTGGAATGCCATTAGAGTTAATGTGCGTGTAAAGGCGTCCCAATACTTTTGGCAATATAGTGCATATCATACAGTCACTCCATATACCACACATACCAAACACACGGCATATAGAATTTGAGGAAAATATGCTAATAAAATAGTTTGTTTTACGATTTGCCAATAAAAAAAAAGAAGCAATTTCCCCGGATTTCATTTGATAAAACTGGTCACCTTACTGTAAGGGGGCGAGAAGGTTGTTATCAGCGAGGTGGCGGCTCAGGCGGCTGTAGATTAGGTGTTTGGAGGTGAATGGGAGTAAGCAGATTGGTGGGGTCCGGTGAGGGGTATTGGGGTGACCGGCGTATGTTTCAGAGGGGAGGGAAAGATTGAGAATGTGAGTAAGAGAATACCAGAGCTGCATGTGTAGGTTTTGGGGTGTTTAGGTTGTGCGGGGGGTGTAGGTTTTGGGGTGTTTAGGTTGCGCCGGGGGTGTAGGTTTTGTGTGTGCGAGGGTGTGTGTGGGGTGTTGGTTGTGAGGATGTTATAGGGTGACAACGCTCCCATCTCAGTCTATCAGTTGTGCTCCTGTGTTGTCAAACAAGCTCCTTCTGGATTCCATAATCCCCACACACGTGGTCCTCCGTTGTCACCATGTGACCGTACAGGAGCACAAGGAGATAGGGACACGGCGTTGTCACCCTATAACAGGAAGTGAACAAGAACCGTCATGGCGGGATCACCGGGGATTATTTTCATGGAAGCTGCAGACTTAGTAAGACGTTTACAATGACACTGAAGCCCCCCACACAGGTTACAATCTGATTGTACGATCTCCTTCAGCTGTGCGGCACAAGAGCCGGCCTGGCCGGAGACTAATGGAATGGACGGATCTGTCCAATCAGATTGTATAGTGAATGGTCGGCTTTAGCTCTCCCACCTCTATGTAGTACAAGGGCCTCCATTGGGTAGTCCAGCCAGGTCCTCATAGTACATGGATACATTGATTGTACGCACAGATTGTAAGGTGTATGGTGATGGGATGCAGTAACTAGATCAGCATGTGATAGGACACCGCCATAGTATATGGCTGCTCCATCCACAATCTAAACTCATTGTACGTCTTGTTTTGTTTCCCAGCATGCCGGAGGAAGAACCGCCGGTGGAGAGGTGAGCGGGGAGACGGGCGCGGCGACACACGCCAGATAAGTCGCTATTCAGCACCCAGCAGATGATCTAAATCTACAGACCGGGTACATCAAACCTGCCGTCGCAGCCTAACCTGAGTGAAGTGCAACCGCACACTGTGTTGTCACAGGCTGTATAAGGAAAAGTGGGAGGGGTGGCACAAGCCCCTCCCTCCTCACATGTCGCAGCCCTCTCCCCTTTCTGGGAGTGCCTAATTGCTGCCTGTGGTGGCCCAGCTCCTCCGACCCTCCCCGCATAACATTTAAGAGGAATACTATAGAGGGGTAGACAACCTTGGCACTCCAGCTGTGTCAAAACTACAAATCCCATCATGCTTCTGCCTGTCACCTCATGGGACTTGTAGTTCCCCAATGGCCAGAGAGTCAGGGTTACCCGCCTCTGCTATAGAGTGACATATGTGGGGTTGCTGACACAATATATATGACAGTGGGGGCACCCTGCGGGAATCTCGGGGTTTGGGGTGTTTATAGGGAGGAGTTAAATATGAATAGTCCGGTGACAGGTTCTCTTTAGTCCGGTGACGGGTTCTCTTCAGCCCCGGTGACGGGTTCTCTTTAGTCCGGTGACAGGTTCTCTTTAGCCCGGTGACGGGTTCTCTTTAGCCCCGGTGACGGGTTCTCTTTAGCCCCGGTGACGGGTTCTCTTTAGCCCGGTGACGGGTTCTCTTTAGCCCCGGTGACGGGTTCTCTTTAGCCCGGTGACGGGTTCTCTTTTTGCACTCCATGTGCTGCGGGTATTCCGGACCCCCCGCGGCAGCTCTGTGCGGTTATACTACAATCAGGTTAGGGTGTGCCAGCAGGTTTGATGTACCCGGTCTGTAGATTTAGCTCCTCCCTCTACAGTGTTTTTGTTTTTTAGTCATTGACTGGATACAAGCGCAGAGCCGGAGTTCTGCCTTCACTTGGCACATGCTTGTTGTGGGTCAGTGAGTCAGGAAGCAGTGACGGAGGAGACAGCCAGGAAAGTAGCATTTTCTGGAGGGGTTCAGCAATGGCTGCCTATGTAATGCTCACCATACTGGTACCTTTTTAAAGAGACCCTGTCAGGGGTATATAAAGACATCAAAGCTTTACTCACCAGAATCCCTCAGAACCCCTTTTGGGTCCGCTGGTCACGACACACTGGGGGAGGAGTTAACAAAAAGTGGTGCCGGCCACGCATCTATATTGGGAAAATGGAGCCGATCCTCTTTGCTAATTAGGAGCGAGCGGCTCCATTTTCTATGCCATGTTTGCAGCATAGAATGCAGGAACTGCTTGCTCCAGCTCCCTCTTCCTGTGCAGGCGTCACAGGGACAGGAAGTGAGGGGAGATCTTTCCAGTGGGGTCACAGGGACAGGAAGTGAGGGGAGATCTTTCCAGTGGGGTCACAGGGACAGGAAGTGAGGGGAGATCTTTCCAGTGGGGTCACAGGGAAAAGAAACCAAGGGAAATCTTTTCCAAGCCTTTAAAGCTGAACTCTGGGAGCAAAAACTGTCATTTAGATACATCCTTCATGAGCCGCAAAGGGTATAAATCCACTTTGTGTGCACTGTATGCCTTTGTAGAACCCCAGATATTATCACTGTGCTGTACATAGCCTGAGCATCACAGGGACAGGAAGTGAGGGGAGATCTTTCCAGTGGGGGTCACAGGGACAGGAACTGAGGGGAGATCTTTCCAGTGTGGTCACAGGGACAGGGAGTGAGGGGAGATCTTTCCAGTGGGGGTCACAGGGACAGGAAGTGAGGGGAGATCTTTCCAGTGGGGGTCACAGGGACAGGAAGTGAGGGGAGATCTTTCCGGTGGGGTCACAGGGACAGGAAGTGAGGGGAGATCTTTCCAGTGGGGTCACAGGGACAGGAAGTGAGGGGAGATCTTTCCAGTGGGGGTCACAGGGACAGGAACTGAGGGGAGATCTTTCCAGTGGGGTCACAGGGACAGGAAGTGAGGGGAGATCTTTCCAGTGGGGGTCACAGGGACAGGAAGTGAGGGGAGATCTTTCCAGTGGGGTCACAGGGACAGGAAGTGAGGGGAGATCTTTCCAGTGGGGGTCACAGGGACAGGAACTGAGGGGAGATCTTTCCAGTGTGGTCACAGGGACAGGAAGTGAGGGGAGATCTTTCCAGTGGGGGTCACAGGGACAGGAAGTGAGGGGAGATCTTTCCAGTGGGGGTCACAGGGACAGGAAGTGAGGGGAGATCTTTCCAGTGTGGTCACAGGGACAGGAAGTGAGGGGAGATCTTTCCAGTGGGGTCACAGGGACAGGAAGTGAGGGGAGATCTTTCCAGTGGGGTCACAGCCAAAAAAAACCAAAACAAATCTAGACAAAGCCTTTAAAGCTGAACTCTGGGAGCAAAAACTGTCATTTAGATACATCCTTCATGAGCCGCAAAGGGTATAAATCCACTTTGTGTGCACTGTATGCCTTTGTAGAACCCCAGATATTATCACTGTGCTGTACATAGCCTGAGCAGAGCTGTGGGAGGGGCTCAGCAGGCTCCACCCTCTACAGTAGGGGGCGGAGACAAGACCAGTCACCCTGCACAAGGAGAGCGAGCAGCAGAGACCGGTATTTATTACAGGGAGCTCCAAGTCTCACACTGGATTCTGGCACAGATCTGGAAGAAATACACAAAGCTCACCCAGGTTCAGGGAGGAATGTGTGCTGGGTCCCCTGGGGATCTAACGGGGACAAGTGCTATGTGTGCTGGGTCCCCTGGGGATCTAACGGGGACAAGTGCTATGTGTGCTGGGTCCCCTGGAGATCTAATGAGGACAAGTGCTATGTGTGCTGGGTCCCCTGGAGATCTAATGGGGACAAGTGCTATGTACGCTGGGTCCCCTGGGGATATAATGGGGACAAGTGCTGGGTGTGCTGGGTCCCCTGGAGATCTAATGAGGACAAGTGCTATGTGTGCTGGGTCCCCTGGAGATCTAATGAGGACAAGTGCTATGTGTGCTGGGTCTCTAGGAAGGCCGCGTGTAGTCTAGATGTCTCTGCCCGAGTCCCCGTTCAGCTGCCTTTGCCTCCATCTCCTTTTCTCTCTGAGCTCGGCTCTGCTTTTCCCTTCTTACTGGTTTATCGATCGTCTCTTGTCCTGCGCGGTCTTCACCAGCGTAGAGCGCTCCCGCGGTCTGGGCCCGAGGCTCCTCTGCCTGCTCCTCGGGGTCCCGTTGTTCCTGCTGCTCTTCCTCCTTTCTCTCCCGCTGGGTTTCTTCGGTTTCCTGTTTTGGGCCCCCCTGCACTGCGCTCGCCGTCCTTTCTCTTATCAGAACTCCGTGAAGACTGCCGACCTCCCGGAGAAGA